CCTTTTCTTCTCTTGGATACCCAAGAATCCTAAAAATGAAATAAAACGATACCGGGTCGTCTCATTAAGAACAAAACTATGCAACCTTTGGTATGGTTTAGCGTTCTGAAACAGTGGTCCTGTATTCTTTTTCAAACCAATTTGTATTTTGTGCACACAGTTGTGTCTCCCCACCATGACTTATACCCTATAAGAACTATTGTTCTAACGATCGGACCTTTCCGTTTTTGCGTTATAATTCAAGGCCGAGGCCTCCTAATGGAGGTGCCCGTGCCACCCTGCCGGTGGGTAATGAGTATCTGTATGTATAATGACTACAGAAACTATGGCTAGCAACACGAGGCTGTCTAGAGGAGCTACTTAACAGGTCTAGCCGCGCCTTTCGCAGGAAACACAACGACGTCAATATTTCAGCATAGAATTAAATCCTAAGTATAATGACTATCCTACACTTTTCCAACACCACACTGTGACGCTCGTCTTTTTCTCCGGTGGAGTATTATGCGTCGTATCTTTGGTGTATGTGATGATCTCAATGTAGCTTGTGCACTATCATTCAGTAATCTTGACCATTTAGGAACTGCCGATTCATGTACTCTTCTTTTTCCTCTATCTTTCTATTTTCGTCGTAAAAATTATTATGACCCTTGATTGTAAAAAACTTTTTAAAAGATAAAAAAATACTAAAAAAAAAAAATATCATAAAAAAAAGTTTTATATGGGACCTCGGAAATGAAAACTGTCGTACTTTGGCCACTCGGTGATAGGTTATGTTTACTTCCAGTTAAAGAGAGCCAAAGCATAATCTGTGACAATGTTGGTGGGGTGTGACCAGTAGGCCTATTAAATACTATTTTGTTAAAAAGTCATTACTATCAATTTGAAGGCCAAAAAAGGAAGACATTGCAACCGGTACATAAGGTTTAAAATTATTTGATCATTAATCCTAAGGTTACCATTAGAATTGGATTTTGTTTATCTTCTTTTCCTCAATATCCTGTATTTATTATCATCTTATAAAATTAGTAAACTTTGAAGTGTAAAAAGTAGAAGAATTGAATAAGTATCTCAAAATAAATAAAACTTTAAAAATAAAACAAAAAAAAAAAAAAAACATTTTAAAAAAATAAAGTTCGCAATGCATGGACTGCGACCGCGCGGGTATCTCGCAAAGATGAAACAGTACGTATTTGGCATCTGTTCCTAGTAGCATGTATCGTTTCATATCAAGAGAAGAAACAGTGACACATGTAATGGGAAGCTGGCATTATGTCTTTTAAAAATCTCTTCAAATAAAGCCAAAATCGAAACTTGAACTACATAAAGTTTAAACGTTTATCATTAGTTAACTTACCATTAGAACTGGATTTGTTTTCTTCTTTTTCTAAATCCTTATTTTCATCCTAAAAAAATCATCCCCATACACATGATATAATTGTTAGAGACTATATAATTAGACTAGTACACAATAGTGCTTATTATTCATTGCATCCTTTTACTGACACAGTGTGGTTTGGTGCGAGTCTATTCTCCAGTCTATTTCCTTACGCAGGCCTCTTTGCAAATCGTCTCCGTTATACTATGAGACAGGAGAGCAGTTTCTCTATTCTGGCGCTCTACCATTGAATAATAATACGAATAATTAAAGAATTATATTCAAAATCAAGAAGCTTTGTGCCCTTCATTGGACAATTAAGTACAAACATCATAAAGTATGTCATTAATATAAGAATATGTTCTTGTCATCATAAAAAGCCCCCTTGGATCATAGATTTCTACAATTGATTATTGCTGAGACAAGTATAACGCATATATTGTGTGAGTGCAAATAAAAGTTAATGGGTGTCCGTCTGGCGTTGGGCTGTGACAACTGATGCAGTATTTGATGCCTCGAAAATTTTGGCTCATATAAAACGACTTAGGCCCAAATAAAAGCTTCATTTCTTAGCTCAATCGAAGCTGTGTGATATCGCCTCTGATGCCATTGTTTTTTTTCGATCATATTATGGAGTTTAGAAAATTAATGATCATAATACAAAAAAATCAATGTTGATTGATGTCAAAATCAATTGTCAATAAAGAAACTATCTAACTCAATTGTGTATGTGGTGATAATATTCAATATGAACTATACTCTTTTTTATGGGTACAATAATAATTATAAATGTACCTATATGTGATAACACAACCATACTATATAGATAATTGTGTATAACAATTTAAATGTTTGAATTGGAAAATAACATTCAGCAGATACAAATCAGAAGTTTAATACAAGTCTATTTAAATTTATTTTTGATATTTACCCTTAGAATTATTTTCTTCTTCTTCTATTTTGTCCCCTTCTTTTACATCTAAAGTAAATAATATATTACGTAAAAAGTTAAAAAACGACATATTTATTAAGTCTATTAACTAGAAAATATTAACACATACGATGTAGGGTATTTTTAATACTGCACACATTACCAGTAATATAAAAAATGCTTGTTTGATTACTAAATGCAAAATCAATTAGACTTTTGATTTTCAATTGTTTAAAATCTCCAATTGTAAAATATTTAATCTGTAGAATTTAGTATTTTATGATAAAAAAAGCATAAGTTGAATGTCAACAAATATGGTTAATAAAATCTAGTAGCCGGTAATAAATTTTAATAAACACAACAAGGACAATTTAAATAAAATAAACCAAATAAACTTACTATTGGGCAGATTTTCGTCTTTCTCTACTTTGTCATCATTTTCTGGCACTAAAAATTAATTTTAACATGAATTAATAGAGAGAAATTCTCTTCAATATAACATAAATATGTAGTTTAATAAATAAATACAATTTAAAGAAAGGAAAAGTACCTTACAATTAAAATACAACTTTAATATTAAGCGATATACGAAACTTACCTTCAACAGAGACATTATCCTCTTTTTCTTCATGAGCATCACCATTACTTGCTTCTGAAATTTAAATAGTATAGTTAAAAATCTGTTTTTAAAAATAAAGTTGATGAATTATTGATATATCCAATAAAAATTGTAGTAAGGATAACTTAAAAAAAAACATTTCGAACCAAATGTTCTAACCTTTATTTTGGGATATCTCAGCGGTTTTTTCTCTAACATAGAACCCAGACATTTCGTTTTCATCTTCTAAAACACCATATAAAAATATAACATTAAAAAACTATTGTTATTAATATTTTCATACCATTTTCCGAGTTTTTTATTTTTTCTTCAACCAAAGATCGGCAGGTTCTCGATGTTTCGTAGGTGCTTAATTTTTCTGAAACGAATTCTAGTTAGAATAATCCTAAAAACATAAAGAATAAAACAAATAACCTGTTTCCGAGTTGACTTGGTCCATGTTGAGGTTAGCAGTCAGTAAACTCAAAAGTTAATTAATCGCATTTGATGTTTACAATCGGGAACAGTCAAAATGGAATTACGAAAATGTCAATCTTTTCCCGCTTAAGCTACACTAGCTACACTCAAAGTCATAGTCGAAAATTCCGAATTTATTTACGTAAGAAAACCGCAAAAGGCACCAACAAATATGAAAATAAAAATATTAACTATTATTTTGTATCACGCACTCTCTCTCTAAAAATTAAATGCCGAATGCACAGGTTCGTATTGTATATTTTTTGATTGGAAAAGCACACAACAATGGCGGCTCAGAAACACGAATAATAATGGCGAACGCCAAGCTATCCGCCGCCTATTCCACGAAGTAAAAACCGAAAACCAGAAACGGATATTTCGTCTCTTTTTAAAAGAGACAGATGTAGTTGCGTAGTGCGAAAATGCTACTTCAGCGCGCGGCAGATATACACGCAGTGGCCGCGAGGTGGCGCACTTAACTGTTAAATTATTTTTAGGTTAGGACACGGAACACCACGTGACTTTCTAGAATTTTTAAGAAAACAAAGCATAATGCAAACAAACGTATGTTTTTTAATTATGTTTGAATCACATTGCATTTTATTAAGCATGTTAATGTATAATCAACGAGATATTACAGAATTTCGCAGAGAAACTCCAGAAAAAAACAATTTAATTTGAGAGCCGTCATTAATGTCATGTTTTCTTTTGCTGGACAGAATATACCATATTAAAAAAATAAAAAAGGCGTCAAATTACTTTAGATGGTATATAACATTTTATATGATCATATATAATATGACCATATATAAAACGTCAACGATCGATATTTCTAAGGTAACATGACGCCGTTTTTTTTCTCGATTATACGATTTTCGATTATTCGATTGAAAAAAGCGTCATCGTGGCCATTGAATAAATAATAAACGATAATTTTTTAATATTTAACTTTTTTGAATTTAATTATTAATTGTTATTTTTTATCATTTTTTATATAATTTTTTAATAAATGACATATAGAGTCTTTTATAGAGTCTTTTATAAATGACATATAGAGTCTTTTTTATGTCATTTAATAAATGACATAAAAAGTTTTTTGATCATTATTTCTAAGGCAACTTGACGCCGTTTTTTTTATTATACGAGATACGACGAATTCAATTTTTCTAATAAAATAAAAACATAAATATATTGTAATGAATATATTGTCAGAGATATCTATCAATCATAATTAGCTACCGTATGATTTAAAAAAAAGCGTCATAGTGGCCATAGAATAGACAATAAACGAAAATTTTTTAATCAAAGTTTCTAGCCATATATACCAATCATTCAAATTCAAACCTATTTAGTAAAAAATATTTTTTGAATATTTTACTTTTATAAATTTAATTATTAATTGTTATTTTTTGTCAATTTTTTATGTAATTTTTTAGTAAATTACATATAGAGGTCGACACGACAAAAAATTTTGATCGTTATTTCTAAGGCAACTTGACGCCGTTTTTTTATTATACGAGATACGATGAATGCAATTCCTCTAATAAAATGCAAATGAATATATTGTCAGAAATCTCTATCAATCATAATTACATACTGTATGATTGAAAAAAAAGCGTCATAGTAGCCATAGAATAGACAATAAACGATCATTTCATGAAAGTTTCTAGACATGCCCCAATCATTCAAATTCAAATCTATTCAGTAAACATTATTTTTAAACATTTTACTTTTTTCAATTTTTGCAATTTTTTAGTAAATGACATATAGAGATCGACATGACAAACATTACCATCGCTTGTCATTTCAGTAGCTACTATAACTGTTTTTTATTTAACTATTTATTTTAACAAATAAAATGGCTTTCTAATAAATAAAATTTCATTTTTCATTAGTTAAGGGTATTATTGCCCTTCTGTATTTATAAACATTATTCTTAAGTATCCAGGGGCGCAGATATCGGTAGGGGGATAATAATCCCCCGGAAGAAATTTAAAAATTTGATAAAATGCGGTATAAAATAAAATTGTCACAAAAAGTAATAATACCAATTCAAATAGAAAATTCAGACCAACTACTTACTTTTTAATTTATTTCTTTACCATACTTTATTTTAATATTTTTCTCTAACAGAACTACAGAAAATATTAACAAAATAAGTGAAAAAAAAATGTTTTAATATACACAGGGTGTTTTAATATTTATTGGGTCAATAAGCTATACTTTCATCTTGTAACCATTTTCAAATTATCTTTTTGTTTTCTTTTACCTTGTGTAAAACGCACTGAAATTATTAAATTATATATTATAATCATTAAATAAAGAACATAAAGTGTGTTTGCATATATTACAGTTTACTACTTTTCAACCAAAACAACCGAGTCAATCACAGAAATAAGTTACAAAACTTATCAGAGGCGCTGTTGCTATGCGGCTTTGTGCCAAGCCAACGGAAACAAATATAGAGTCAGCATTTATATTTGTAAACTCGCGATCGTTCTCCTCTGCGCGCTGGCTACAATACTTGTTTCCTCGTTGGGGATCGCCGATCTCAATCGAAAACAATCGAACTGTATCGAGCCGCGGCGAGTCACCTTCAGGAACGGTGTCAAGGTCAAGCGGTGTTGCTCTCCCTTTTTCTAGATGATTCGAGCGATCCGCAGCCGTAGAGAGCACGCGTAGTAAGAGTCGTAGCGTTCCGTAGCATTTCGTAGAATTCTGCAAACGAAATTAGATTATATTACGTTGTGATAAAATTATTATTTTTATGCTATTTGTTTGCTTTTTAACAAACAAAACACATTTTTCTTTATACAACACATATAAAGAAAAATGCATTCTTTAAAACGAGTTACTCTGTAAGAGATATGTCAAACATATGTTATAGTTGTCAAAATATCCAGTGATGTGGCGACATCTATAATATAATGTATTTTTTTTTAATTTTGTATGATGAATGGTAGTCTACGGCACTGGGGTGTACTCTGGTTTCACATTGCATATAATAAAATAAATACTTCTAATTGTAATTGTGTTGATTTGGGGAACTGCAAAAATAATAAATATATTTATGTTTAGCTATGTTAATTAATTTTTAACAAATTATCTTATTTAATATAAATTTAATTATAAAATATGTATGTTTTTTCCTATTTTTTTAAAATAAAAAGTAACTTTACTTAAGTTAAAGCATTCTTTTTGCTGCCAGGCCAAAACTGGGCGATGCTAATTGCTAATATTGATTACGAAGATTCCGAACCCCGGTCCTCATCCATATAATGGCTTCTGGACCTAGCGAATGTTTAAATCGATTCTAGAGACCTCATACGGTCTCTAACTTTTTTATTCTTATATTGGCACAACAGCACTATACAGGGTCGAGTCATAAGTGCAAATATTTTTAAGTGCAAGTTTTTCAAATAAGTTCAAAATAATCGAGTTATTTTACTTCGAAGATTTGAAAAAAAATTGCGTAAATTTTGAGAACCACTGTAAAATTTAATCTATCTACTACCTATGTTGTCATATTATCAATAAATTATATTTTTTTAACTAAAAACTAAAAACTAAAAAAAAAATCCAATTTTTCCAAATTTTTACTTTTTTTGGGAAAAAAATCTCATAGGCGCGTTCCTGGGGTCGAAATATATTACCCTTATAAATGTTTGCACTTAATTAAGACTCACTCTGTATAGAGATTTCCAGACTTTACCAGTCCAAATATCCACATTGTCTAAAGCCGCTTAACGATAATCAATCAAGACTTATATTAAAACGTATATAAAAATAAAATTGAGCCAGTCATAATATAAAAAAATAAGTAGTAGTCCCAGAAATAAGTGCAAGTATTTTAACTGGTAGAGTTCAACTCCAGAAATACGCCTATGAGGTTTTTTTCTCGAAAAAAAAATTTTTGGATTTTTTTTTAGTTTTTAGTTAAAAACCATAATTTCTTGATAATATGGCAACATAGGTATTAGATTAAATTTACAAGGAAGAAAATCCAGAAAAGATCCAGTGGTTCTCAAAATTTTAGCAAAAAATCATTTTTTTTAATTTTCAAAGTTAATTTTCAAAGTAACTCCGTTATTTTGGACTTATTTGAAAAACCATAAAGAGAAAATATGTTTCTTTTATCGAGATCTACCACCCTTTAAAATACTTGCACTTATTTCGGGGACAACCTGTATATGACAATGACAATAGGTCTGTCATTTTTAATAACTAGTAGATGGTATTGTGTGTCATTTTTTGGATGTCGTCTGTCGAAATCTTTCCTTCTTTCGTTGAACATACAGAGATTGTGTATTATACATCTAAATTTATCAATAATCCGTTGTAAAGCAAATCAGGTATTTTGGCAATTGAATTTTCTACCAGAGGCGTACGGATAGTTTTTTTCAAAAAAGGGGCAAAATATTTAATGCAAACTATCCACTTACATATAAGTCCGCCCAATAAGAAGTTACATGATAGTGACAGTTGCCCGTCATTTTAATATACAGGTATATGCTGTTATTTTTTGTATTTTTCTACATTGTTCCGGAATCTACGATATACGACATACAAAACATGTCGGAAAATACAGATTGCCTGTAAATTAGACACAATAACTGTTACTGTCAGGAATATCTCACTGGACAGACTATAGATCAGATGTACTCTATTCTGGTTCGCTAGGTTGTCTATGCATTCCCAAACATAAAATTTAAATATGAATTGCTGTCGTTATTCTAAATCTAATTGAGAAAAAAAGTGCGAAAACCTGGGTTTCATATGTAACAACACTGAATCACCCTGTATATTGTATTAAATCTGGTAATTAAAAATAGACTAATAATTATTATTAAAAATGCGTGACAAATTGGGCATCATTAATTTTATATTGTTTAATAATTCGTACATTTTACTGATAAAAAACAAAAAACTAAACTTATAATGAACTAAATAAAATAATCTGGTTAAGATTAGTATATTTCCTTTAAGATTTGGAAAAGTTTAATCAATAAAACATCTAAGCAACCACCTTGCACTAGGATAAAGGGTAGTTTTATTCATAGGCATTAAAATTCCGGCACTATATGGTCGTTGAACTGAAAATATACCATATAAAAAAGGTATTTTCAAATAAAAAAATGGAAGAATTAAAAGACAAAAATATTCATCAAACCACTATAAAAATTTGTGAAGATTTGAAGAACTCAAGCCAGTATAAGAGCTTGTTCGAAGATATACAGGTAAATTTGTGTTTTTAATTAAACATTGTAGTTAGTTTGGTAGACAACAAAATCAGTAGGTATTACATTCACTTAACAAAAATTTGAAACAACATAAAATATATTTTCTTACATACATAGGTATAGGTGCTATAAACAATCGGGATTTGGCTTCAATACCATTTTCAATGATTTTTAAAAAAAAAATTTAAATGTGCTTAAAATATTATTCTCTACTTTATGCATAGAGACGTGCACCAAATTTCGTAAAGATATCTTTAATAACATCAGAGTCGTTAATATAAAAAAAATAGAAAAATTTACCCCCTGTATACCAAAAGTTAAGATGTTTAGCACATACATTCATAATATGAAGTTTTTTCGTAGAATTAGTTCAAGAACTACCCCACTAAATATTAGCATATTATTAAGGAACACCCTGTATACCGGGTGCAGTCTCAAAAGTGGCTCACCCCTATAACTTTTTTATTTTTTCAGATAAAAAAACCAGATTTGGTATGTTAGTATATGACATAAATTAGGATTGATTGACGTATTCACTTGTTTTAGGCCACTTCCTCTTTCACCGGAAATGACTACAACTTTTGATTTTTAAATGGCACTCTCGGTATATTTTTAGTTTGTCTAGTTTTAACTTAACCTAACCTAACCACTGGCGTAGTCAAAACATTTATCAAAAATATAAATATCTTTTCAAGTAGCTAAGTTAAGAATAAATATGTGCCACGGCACTGTTTGGTGGTATAGTAACAATCTGGTCTCGGGTGTTATTAGTCCTTGTATTCTTTAGTCATTCAAAATAATAATATTTTTTTCTACAAATATGTCACCAATAATTGTGACAATGTCACAGTTCAAAATGACTTAAGAAATCTATCAAATTTTTGTCAATAATATTTTGTGCTATTTTTTGTTGCTAGAAATTAGTTGCAACACCCAGTGTGAAAATAGAAGATTTCAAGAGCACGTTGCTGAAGTGTATGCAGGAAAATGGTTTGGAAGCTGAGTTAAAGAATAATATCTATCGTTGGGTTAAAATGAAGAGGAAAGAAAGCAGTTCATATGATTCATTTTTCAGGTAAACTATACGTTAACATGTAATACGAGCACAGATTATACAGATTATAAACTTTGTTTTTTCTTTATTGTTTTTCGTGGTTCCAATTTTCGGAATCGGGCACTAGTTAGGTTATTAGTTTGCACACATAGCACGCCCACTTATGGCCTCTAAAATTGTGCACAGCGCCTAACCGGCACAGTTATTAGAGAGAAATCGGAAAACCGAATAGCGTCATGCAGTATTTACGCGTACCTTATCATGGTTACGATATGCGCGAGTCAATTTTTAACGCAACACCCGCTAATAACGTTACCGCCTGATCTGTTACACCCTAAGGTTACACCAAGCGCTATTTCTAAATAACGTTTAAAAATTGCTTAAATGGGCATGTGCGGGTATTTGACAACCGGGGCCGGCCGGCGCGCGGCGAGATCTTTTATTTTAGGTTATGTTTGAATTGTTTTGAATTATTACTTTAGTTTTATTAGGTAATTTGATATTTAAGTAGCTGAGATTAGTTTTAATTAAATAAATATGGCCCGAAATATGGATTCCACCTCTTCCAATATTAAAGAACCTATAAAGAGGCTTAGGTTTACAGCAGATGACGACTTAGCCCTTCTAAGGGAATTTGTTGCTTTTGTTGCCCTAAACCCACTGGCAGACGTTGAACAATAAAGCACTGGAAATAAGCACTTTAGCCCTTTAGTTTTAAAATACCTAGTAAACAAAACAATTTCAAAGTTTTAAATTCAAAGTTAGGTTAAGTTTAAATAGCGGACGCGACACGAACAGAATCCTTTCCGATCCGATAACTATAAATGAAGAGAGTTAATACCACCTCACGCAAAGGAAATAACACCTGGCCTTATTAACGTCCATGCACGATATTCGGTTTAGCGATATCTCTCTATTACGCTGTTTATTGTTATTTTACGCGAGTTTATTTTTGCGCACAGGAAATTTTACTCGTTTGCACATCGTCATAAAAAACAATTTTCGTACCACGAATTAGGAACAAGATTTTTATTTGTATACTTATAGGATACCTATTCTGTGATTGAAGTAACATCACTTGCTAAAAGAGTTTATTTGAGATTTAGCGTTCTTCATATAGTATACAGGGTGGTGACAATTTCGATGCTCAACATTGACATCTCAGGAACTACGAGAGTTACGAATTCGGTTAAATGGGACAAAAGTTGCGTAATTAAATGTTTGACAAACGCTTATGAAGAAAATCCCGGTATCTTGATTAAATGATTAGTTTCGGATTTATGTCAAAAAAATGAAAATAATACGTTTATATTAAATGACAATATCTTCAGAACTATTGTATCTATGGAACGTAAGTTGGTAGTTTTATATTTTTGACATCGGCCGATTAGATGCCGTTTTCAGAAAATTTTTAAGCCTTCTAGATTTCGCACAACAACAGTCAAGTTTTTGTTTTCTTATGGTCGCCATTTTGACTTTTTATACTGTTAGATAGGGCGAAAAAAAGTCTATACGGTGGTATCTAATTTTTATTCATTAGTATATAAATTCACTATTATATAATTCGCTCAATAGATCAAGTTTGCCTTATTTCGTATCTCTCGTAGTTTCTGAGATGCAAATGTTGAGCATCGAAATTGTAACCACCCTGTATAGCTCAAAAATTATTTAATTTTAAGGATTTAATTAAGGATTTGAAGGCTAAAGCCGTCCCCATCAGTAATTCAAATTCATTCAGACAGAGTTCAGTAAAGTAATACGATATTATTAATTTATTTTGTCACAAACGACTGTGAGTCTAGCCCCCCCCCCTTTCTCGAATTCTGGATCCGCCCCTGATTACTCCCAAAGATTCGACAACAACCAGGCGATATTATACAAAATAATGACTGACATCAGAGACAACTCTGACTGACATTATGATAATTGTCAAATAATAAACGACAACGACAACGTTGCTGATCGCGGCACAATGTCACCAACATGGCGGTAATAAAAATCGCTTTAAACTAATTTTTGCAGCTTTAATCTAAATAAAACATCTGTTACAATCATTTGCTCTATGAAGTCAAATGAAGAGCTGCTCGGTATCTCAAATTATACAACAAATTTAAACATTTTTGCCAAAATTATTATCATTTAGTCAAGTTTACAGGTTTTAGTGTCAATTTCGATATGATTGATGACGTGCATCGGAAAATGTTTGTGATTACCGTAGTCATAACAGTGCGATTCGGTAAACATATTTCCTGTCTAGTGACTCATCAATCGTATATAAATAACATAGGCTAGGCAAGAAATTTCTAGCTACGGAGTTTACAGAATCCCAAGACAGTATCATCAGTCCTTTATCATATCTCATCAAGGAGATCACAACTAACAAAATATTGTTGCGAGCCGGTGTGGACTCGACCTAACCTCACAATATGGCCCGCCCTCGGATGACCTTAACATCGCATAGACACCGCAATGATTCATTCGTTCGAGAAGAATCGAGACCGACTAGAATGGACTAGTACATACGAGAACATTCGAAAACCTTTTCTATGCGCCTAACGATCTTTGGACTATTCTAGATTTCTTTTACCTGTCGGTATAAAAGCCGGCGGCAGTGGCCTAGAGAGGGCAGTTATAAATATACAGTTGACGCGCTAAAATTCAAAATAAATTCTTAGTTATAAATCGTTTGTAAATAGTTCTATAAGTCTTTTATCGTTATTATTTTTGTTCATTAGTGTTAAATAAATAGTGTTTAAATAAATTGTGACTTTCTATCCACACGGAACCGACGAAAAACGTAACAATATCAAGATACAAATTTTAATCCGCATTAAACAGTCTACGCGGTTTTATTAACAAAAGAAAAAAGTCAGTGGCGCACATGTTTTTTTTATAAAAATATTCCAGTGATTATTAATAAATAATTATATAAATCTGTCGACACTTTTTGGTTTGATTTGGTTTGGTTTGGAGCAATCTCAATCTCAATCAAGCAAATCTTTTTTTATCGTTTTTCTTAATTTTTCATGTTATGATTGTTATGTATTCTTACACATTTTTAATTTTTTTTTTAATTTTAGAAAATCACAAATCCATTGGGATAAGAGAATCCATAAATCGTTGAACTCAATGTGCAGCGAATTAGGTATTAGTTTGGCAAAATTAAGAGGAAACAGCGAGAAAGAAGAACTTTTGAACAAGTGGAATGAACTGAGCAATTTTGAAGTTAGTAAAATAAGAAATAAATACAATAATTATATGTGTATCTATTAATTTATCTTTCTATCTATACTAATATATAAAATCCTTAAGTGACTCACATACTCATTAATCACGATCCTGCTCAAACCACTCAACGTAAGAAGCTCAATTTTGGCATACAGGTTGATTCTAGGGTGTAGAGGTTAGATAAAAAGGGATTTTTCGAAATTCCAGTTCCAAGAGGGTGAAACCACCCCTCAAATATTACAATAATTTTATTTAAAAAACGGTCAAGTTTCCGAGAAAACGCTTAAACACGCATATTTTATTTTGTTTTTTTACATATTTTAAGGTTTTTTAAAAATGTATACAGGGTGTTTCGAAAAATCTGGTCATTGATTAATCACGATCCTGCTTAAAGCACTTGAGGTAAATAGCTGATTTTTGGAAAACGGATTGACTTTAGGGTGTAGAGGTTCGATAAGAAAGGATTTTTCGAAACTCGAATTATAAGGGGGTGAAACTATCCCTCAAATATTAAAATATTTTTTATTTCAAAACCGGTGAGTTTTTCGGAAAAACTCTTAAACACGTATATTTTATTTTGTTGTTTTACATATTTTAAGTTTTTTTATAAATTTATACAGGGTGTTTTATAAAATATGACCATTGAGTAATCACGATTCTGCTTAAACTGCTTTGACGTTTAAAGCTGATTTTTTGCAAACGGATTGACTGTGGGGTGTAGAGGTTCGATAAGGAGGGGTTTCTCGAATCTCAAATTCCAAGAGGGTGAAAACGCCCCTCAAATATTACAATATTTGTTATTTAAAAAACGGTTAGTCTTTCGGGAAAACGCTTGGACAAGCATAGTTTATTTGGTTTTTTTACATATTTTGAAATTTAAAAAAAAATCATACAGGGTGTTCCAAAAAGTTGGGTAATTTCTTAACCACGATTCTGCTTAAACTGATTGACGTAAAAAGCTTATTTTTGGCAAACGGATTTTCGAAAGTCAAATTCCAACGAGTTGAAACAACCCCTCAAATATTACCAAGTTATATAATAATATTGTCATATTGTTTTTTCTCATGCTGACATAAATGTGAGAAGATTTTATCCAGTTTGTATGTTAATGGAAATTCTTGCTTTGCTTTATCATCTCCATTACAAATGATTAATTCGACGCGAACGAAGTCGCGGGTACACGCTAGTATTTAATAAAATAATAATTACAATTAGATAAATAAAACAGGATTCCTTGAAATTTTATTATAGGTATTTAATATTTTTTTAGACTGATATTCACAAGTACCGACCAGTGTATGCTCCAAAAGATTTTTTAGAAGTGTTATTAAACTTAAAGGGTCCTAAGAGAGACAAGTCCAAATGGTAAGTAAATACTTTACTGACATTTCCAGTAACATATTAAATAAAAGCATATTTTATAGAATGTTACCTTTTTTAGCGATAATCAGAGATGGGAATTTGCGCAGTTACCACTCAGAGTGAAAAACTTATCAGAACTGGTAAATAGTCCTTTTATTTATACAGGGTGGCGCCTCTCATACGCCACGGAAGCTCCAAGGAGAACGGTAGTTTATATCGAAATAAAATTTCGGTAGCATATGTAGGTTAACTGAAAGCATTTTATAAAAATATATAGAATTGTACAGGGTGTCCCCAAAAAAAGTTACACATCAAAGTTTTGTTTTTTCTAATGGAACACCCTATATATTAATTGATTTTCGGATTTTTGGAAAAAAATAAAGGTCAGTTTTATTAAAGAAGCATATACCTAAAATCTAAGGATTTTGACATATCTCACATTTTGTAAAAATTAAGAGTAAATTTTAAATTTCGATAACAGCTACCTAAATTTTAGTTTACCTTGTATAGCCTGATATTTAATTACAGTAACCATTGCATGATAAACCAAATTGAAATTTGACCTAAAGAGTTATACAGGATGACAAAATTAATATGGAACATTAGTCACTTTTAAAAGCAAGTTACTCCTTTATTTTAAATGAAACACCCAGTGTATTATTCCGGTGTTCAATGCGGAATTTATATATCTTCAAAATATTATTCAGGTTATCTACCCCTCAGACAAAGATTTTCCTAGATATTTTAATTTTTATGATTTTGCGTCAGTAGATCTTTATTATTTGAAAAAATCTAGGGGTGGCTGTGATACCGTTTGTTAATTTAACAAAAATTAAAGAATGTAGAGTAAATTACTCAACGGTAATAAAAAGATGCACGTTTAAAACATATTTCAATTATTACAGAATTAAAACTAGATATAAACCTATAATTATGTGACAAAAATTAGCTAGATGAAATCAAATGCTCAAAATGCTTCCTTTCCTGTTAACTGCATAAAATAATTGTCTTTGGAGTTCTGCCTCGAAAAGCATATACATTAATTTCTTACATGTTGTCGACAATAGTGGTCGAGTTTTGTAAACACTGTCTTTAACATATCCCCCCAAAAAACAGACTATTATAAAATCAGTTGCATTTAAGTATTCTATTAATTGGTGAATGCACACTGCATTCACCAACTAATAGAATCATATCAATTCTCTCTGATGTAGGATAAGTTTGCATTTTCGGCAAATTTCTGATAATTTTTTTTTGTTTTAACTGACACAAAATGATAACTAGTTGTTAAAGTTGGACTAATTAGATAGCTATGTTGAAGTAACGTCAGACACATCATAGCCACCCTAGAATTTATCAAATAATAAAGCTCTACTCAGATCGAATGAAAATATCTATAGGAAAATCTTTGTTTGAAGGGTAGGCAACCTTAAAAGTATTTTGAAGAGACATGAATTCTCCATTGAGTATCGGAATAATATACTGGGTGTTCCATTTAAAATAAAAGAGTAACATACTTTTGAAGGTTACCAATGTTCAATATTAATTTTATCTCACCCTGTATAACTTTTTGGATCAAGTTTTAATTTGATTTTAAGTACATTTAACTACATATTAGGTTATACCGGGTAAATTCCAATTTAAGTAGCTTTTATTGTAATTTAAAAAATTGTTCCTTATTTCTTGAAAATGTTAAATATGTAAAAAACCTTACATTTTAGTCATATACTTCTCTTATAAAACTCACTTTTATTTCTCTCCCAGAATCTGAAAATCAATTAGTATACCGGGTGTTGCATCGTCGGACGGGACATAGGAAATCCCATGTAAATTTTAATGGGGTCAATTATTGGCTTCCCTAATTATTTTAGAGAATAATTCTATTTAGGTTTATTGGAGAGCACTAAAACCCACATTCAAAAGAATAACTTTAGATATTTTTGATTAGCCCGTTTACGAGTTATCGCCGATTTCTTTTTAAATATTTCTCCTTTCTTATGGCCCTGTATTTACTTATGAGCACCAGTCAAGGTAAAAGATATAACTGTCAAATGAAGTTGTCATTTCAGAAATTTACCTATTTAGTGCTTTATTATTATTGAAAACTCATTCCTACATCGGAAATCTTAAAGATGTATTTATAAATACAAATTAATATGAATTAAAGTAAAATAAAGTAATCCATTACAAGGTTATAATTATAGTATTATTACAATATTCAATAACTTATTAATTTAGGTACTATTAAATGACAACTTCATTTGATAGTTATCTTTTACCTTGACTGGTGCTCATAAGTAAATACAGGGCCATAAGAAAGGAAAAATATTTAAAAAGAAATCGGCGATAACTCGTAAACGGGCTAATCAAAAATATCTAAAGTTATTCTTTTGAATGTGGGTTTTAGTGCTCTTCAATAAACCTAAATAGAATTATTCTCTAAAATAATTAGTGAAGCCAATAATTGACCCCATTAAAATTTACATGGGATTTCCTATGTCCCGCTCGACGATGCAACACACGGTATAGGGTGTTCCATTACAAAAAATACAACTTTGATATGTAACTTTTTTTGGGGGCACCCTATAGGACTCTCTATATTTTTAAAAAGTGCTCTGAACTAACCTACATATGCTCACAAAATTTCATTTCAATACAAGCTGTCGTTCTCCTTGGAGCCTCCGCGGCGTATGAGAGGCGCCACCCTGTATAATAATATCTCCCGTATACACGTTTAACGCCTTGGGAATAGCAAGGTACAGCTTGCCATGCTAGAGCCGTTCGGTATACAAGGAAGGTAATGTGGCTAGCACTACGCTTCAACTGCCTATTATTACCTCAGGATTGTGAATCCCAAGTACTCATTTAAGGCTGAGTCGACCTAGGTACCTAAACTATTTTTATTTTTAATAAAAATAGTCGGCTGATGAAATGCCGGCTGTAGGATTCGAACCCACAACCTTGAGATTGGTAGACGAGAGCTGTACCTCTACGCCACCGGGCACTTTTTTATTTAAAGCACGAAATTACAATATTACCTTTTTAGAGAAATCTCTACTTAGAGATATCAAGAGGAGAGCAGATTCTGAACAGCAACACCATGCTGAGTACGAACCAAAACTTTGTTCAGTTAGAAGCGGAAAGAATATTGCTTGGTGAAAAAATTCTTATGAAGAATTACGCACCATTAGCTCAAGAATATTTGAAGAAAGGATGTCCAAAGTGTTTAAGAGCGAGAATATGGGCCTTGCTGTTAGGTGCTGAAATTAAATCATATGTAAGTATTAGCACAAGGTATTACCGTTGATTGAAAGAATTGGCAATATACACAACCTATTGGGCGAATGCGTGACAAGGCTGATTTGGTTTCCCCATACATGTCAAGTGCTGTACGGCTACCAATCGTTTTGTGGCGAACGCATATTTTCTCTAATTCGGCTAGCGAAGGTATATCGAAGACGGTGTGGAACTGAAAGCCACAGTGTTGCCATATTAAATGTGTAATATCTGTAATACGTTTGACAAAAATATCTTTGGATGAAAAGAATCCGCGTTTATATATTGAAAACATAGTTTAAGGAAAAGAGTAGTTGCACTCTCGCAAATATTTTCTGCCAGTTTTTGCAATCTGTCGAACATCGGCAGATTGCTAAACGTTTCAGTTGAATTCCGTCTGTCGAGCTGCGAGGTTCGAGCGTTGCGTCCCAGCACAGAGACGGATGAACAAAAAATAAATGTCTTACTCTGTGTGCTGCTATTAATAGTAGTAATAATTCAAAAAATTGTTCTTGGAGTTTTTTTAGATTTCCATCGGATGGAAATCGGTAAGCTGATAGTAATTATCAATAAACATTTAATTATATTTGGTTATTTTAGAAGCTGAGATATTATGCAATTAATTAAATGTTATTATTTTTTTTAGCATGTGGGCAGATTTTAAAAATAGTTTTTCAGATATACAGGTTGTCTCAAATATGCGCATGAAAATATTTTTTGGTCAGGGAATTTGCCATAAAATTTTCATTCCAATAATAATTTACGAGATAATTTATATAGATAGGTTTTTGAAACAATTTTAGAGTAAATATTTTGTACATCTAAAGTCTCCGTAAATTATTCATATTTTTAATCGAAAGAATTTTATAATAGCATAATCTCTTATAAATGTAGTGGACTGTATTTTTTTGTTTTTTTTTATTTTATTTATTCTTTATTATAAGTGGTCGTAATATAACAATATTCAAAATATTATAGACAAAATATTGAGTTAATATTTGAGGGAAGAAAAGTGCCACACCTAGCTTTAAACCACCGTAAATATACAGAGTGGCCCATTAGTGCGAGTGATTTTTATCAAAGCCACCTAATATGATCTTTCTCTGATATTTTATCGTTGAAAATTCCATATGTAATGAAATACAGAAAATATTTGCAAAACGGCTAAAAATTTAAGAACACTTTAAATACAAAAAATGTTCACCTTTTAATTCTACACCTGAGAAAAAAATTATATACAAGGTGTTGCATTTAAAAAAAATGAGATACAACATTTTAAATATTACGATTTTGGTGACGCCATAAAAAATACCCTGTATACGATAAAGTAAATTTTTCTACACGAATTTATTCTGGTATCCTTCGTGTTTAAGAAAACATAGCTAAGTATTAATAAAGTTATATTCACTCTAGTTTTTTACCACTTCTCGTATATAATGTTTTTAACCCCAAAGTGTGTGTTTTAGTAAATAAGAAATAGAATGGCAACACCGCAGTGTGCTTTAAATAAAAACAGTGTACTATAGCAGAATTTTATGCCGAATCCAGTTATCTACAGAAAATTAAACTTGTTTTAAATTAAAAAAAAGTTGTAGAAAATCTCTGAAATAGATAATAATATAAAAATATGTCATTATATATTTTTTCCGCCATTTCTTCCCATCAGAAGATTTTCAGATACAGAAGAATTGTTACCTACACGAAATGTGAAAATATTCTGTTTTTATATAATTTTTTTATTTTATTTTATTGTAAACTCATATTTTCCTAAATACATATCTGTGAAACTATGGCGAGTGCCACGACTATAAATGCTTTTCCTAGTTAATAGACCACGACTATACAGCTACGTCAGTGGTCATGGGAGGCGAGAACAAGGTCATATAAAGTGGCAGAAAAAGAACAAAGGATTTGACAAGTAGTAAAGCTACTAGTTTCCTTATACTATGTTGAAAATGTATTCCTGTTAAACATAGAATAAACAACAAAAGTAAAAATTTCTTTTATAGGTACCGAAAATTTCGTATGATCGAAAAAAGTCGTTTAGTTGGCTTGAAAATGACGATTATTAACATTTACCGTAATATTTTACATATGAAATAACAGCGATTCCAAGCCAACTCTGACGCCGTTTTTTGTTTAATCATATAATATTATATTAAATTGTTTAATGATAGAAAATCCGTATTATTAACGTGCTGCACCCAAAATCCGGAAATCTACGGATTAATAAGTAGTTCTGACAACACTGTCTCCGGCAACTACTCACTCTGTCGACTGAAAGCAGAACTACGGTACAGTATTCTTTATCTGCTGCGCTGTAAACGGCTATCAGCGCGCAGCGGCGCTGTGCCAAACTAAATCTCGGACAGGCTGACGGTAACGCCAGCTACATCTCGGACATATAAGGCTGCGCATCTTCTTATTTCTTCAATCAACGAAAATATTTCTTTTTAGCAAATCTCCTACTTCGATTTTCTGAAACAAAACGTTCTACAATACGACCTGATGATAGACAAGCTGATAATTAAAGATATCAATCTGACAGCTTCAAACGACGACCAGTATTTTGTATTTGAAGATGTCTTATATCAGGTAAAGACGTAATAGGTTTGATTTTATTCACATTTTATTTGGTATTATTCATTAAAAAAGATTTGTTAATTTAAGGTAATGCTTTGTTTCTCCAGAGATTCGGAAATTTTGAAGTACCTGCCCAATCAGCCTGCATTTATGCAAGTGGCCTTTAAAGGAAAGCCGAACACTCCCGAGAATACCATTGTGTTTCCACCAAGTGGTGTCATACCATTTCACGGCTTTACAATGTACGGTAAGAATACTTGCTCAAGATTTTCCTAGATAGTTTCATTTACATTATTTGATCTGAGTAGATCTTTATTATTTGATAAAATCTAGATGGCTGTGATATGTCCAGTGGCGTAACTATCGATGTGCCGTGTGTGCGAAGCACACGCCCCGGGCCCTCGCGGGCCCCTGCCGCATTCCTATATCTATCACATGCTATCGCGAATCAAGCAGAATCGGGCGATCCCGAACTAAGTTATTATCTATCACATGTCTTCTTAACTACTTAACTAGCACACGCTATCGCTATCGCGAAAATAACTTATTACTTTACACTTGTTCTTGTGCAATTTTGTAGCTGTGTTTTCCTTTTTATTTTGCAAAATAAAAATAACTGGAAATATGTGATTTTCCATTAGAGCATTAAATTTGACAAAAAAGGAAATTTGCTGTATTGTCACTGAATTTCTGTACCATCGAGTAGAAATAGAACTAAGCTAGTTGTAGCATCAAAAAGGGCCTGAAAATTATACTAAATTATAACTAGTTAACTCAAAATCACAAAAACTGTAGTTACCTAATGGTTGTATTAAGGGGACGACGATAAGGCAGCTGAGTTACGAGAGCCCAAGTAGCATTTTCACGACTTGCGACCACATGTTTACTAAACACAACGTTGGATTAGTTACAAAAAATAGTTAGCTCCATACCTTAGATATTAAAATAAATTTAAACGTTTTTATAACGTTGTGCCGACGTTGGACTAGTACTACAGCAAAGTAGAAGCTTCTGCGACGTCGAATAAACGTTGTCTTGTAACCATTTTTGCTTAAGTGATCTTTAGGTGATTCGGACAACGTAGTTACAACGTTGGACAATATAGAGTTTTCCGA